GTGTGTGTTCAAGGGGATCTGAGAATGGTTTAGATTCACAATTTTGTCCGCTGGACAACCCCTATTTTTTTAGGGCGGTACGAAGTTCGCTGGGTCAACTAGTATTACTATAAATTACTGGTTTAGGAAAAAGAAGTATGTCATTCAGTTTTTTACTGCTCCTGTAAAATTTTATTTTATGTAATTATACAATTTTGTTCGACAGTCAGCCAACTCATCATATGGAAATATATATAAATATTCATGACTAAGGTACAAATGCTCGTCATTTTCATACTAACATTTGCCCCATCGGGATTCGAGTCGGTGTCACCCTGAAACCCGGCGTACATTCCACTCGCACCTCGGAGGACTTGATATTGAGTGTAAGTGGCGTTCAGACGCTCAAAAGTGCTCCTGCCAGTTCAACCAACCTCACCATGCTGTCCTGAAGCCAATCCCCAACCCCATAATTATGATTATGATGATATGAACATCTCACGGAATTACCTATAAATAGCCTAGCTAATAACCCTTTCTACGAATTACGGACTATAATTATACCACAGATTTTTATACAGTTCATGCTAAGACTAATTTATAAAAAACCAACTGACCCGGCAAACTTTGTATCGCTTACAATAATTTAAAAGAAATGAAAGCTAACCATTCGAAAGGAACACAGCTTTTACCACAGTTAGCAATTTTTGGAGAAATCTTCTGTAGATTGATTGTTCAATGAAACTCATATTTACTGCCAGCTGAAAAATTATACATGACGCTACAAATTGATTATTAGAGGAAAGCCCTTATTTCATTGGCAGTAGCCGATCTTGGAATAACTGTCACTGTTTGGCGAAAATCTTGACACAGTTAAATCATGCCGCCCACGAAACGCATTAATGTATCTATTTACAAAATTTTCTAACAACATGGCCGTTATTCCAGAAAAAGCAACTGCTACCCCAATGTCGTCAAATTCAATGATACTAAAATGTCTTCAAAGTTCTACCGATTCCATCTTAGAATAATAAGCCGCGATGCAATTAATAGATCTGTATCCACCGTAACGAAACGACAAACATTTTTGTCATTACATCTTGCTCGTGTTCATAATGACGCAGACTTGAGACTACCACTGTGCATGCATCAGTGGTAGCATGGTCAATCGACCACTACTAGCTGTATCTCCTTCAATGTTAATTGCATCACGTAATTACACTCTTCTAACGCAGTTTGGCTTGTTTCAACAGAATGAAAGTTAGGTGTTCCGTTTCGATTTTGACTCAAGCGACGAAACGAAATCAAATAGGTTTTGAAGAATTATCAAATATTAATTATGCTTGGTAATTTATCGAGCAGACCTTCTTAGCAGTATTGTCACCTGAAAAAAAAATTGTACGTTATTAGAAAAATTCACGTCCCTATTCCCCGAGGGAATCGACGGAGCCGTCTGATCACTAAATCGTCGAAGGTTACATTAGCATATTAAAAAGGGGTTAAGATTGGTTTCCAGGTCTCTGCCCAATACTCTCCAAACATATTCAATCACTTGGTCGACCTATATGACTTACTGGGAAATTAAGAGTAGTTTTATTTTTTGGAAATCAAATACAGTAATTAAGATTCATGGCATCTAGAAATAAAAACTTTAATATTGATACTTATCATATTCCTTCTGTCTCCATACCAAAACATTTATAAACATAATTTCTGTCGCTTTGGATTTGTGTATGTATTTTTCCAGCGATTGTTGTTTTATTTTTTTATTTATCTAGTATATCATTGATTTAGATTGAATGCTAAACAAATAAGCCTAGCTAACTAATGCGTATTGTAACATGAGTTGTCAATTGCGAAAGATGGCGGAACAAAAAACTTGTTTAAAAAAAATGTGTGCTTATGACCCCACGACTGAAGTGACACTTCTTTAGCTCCATCTGTATGTATATATATGTGTGTGTGTGTGTATGTACATACATGTATGTAGATATACCTACTTCATTTATTAGCTATAAGAGAAAGAAAATATGCGCGCGCACTGCTTTCACTTGCTTATATCCACCACTCAACTCCCGTTCACCTTGCCCGAACACACTTTCCGTAACGCTTAACGCATTCGCCAGCTTAGCCCCCGAGTCAAGCGTGTGTAAAGAAGTTTTACTGCGAAAAATCATGCATTAATTTATTTCGTGACTTATTGAAATTATTCTTTTATACAAACCTTGTCCTGAAAATAACGAACACAATAAAAAAAACAATTTGGTTCAGTCGTTCGGAAGTGTATGCGGATGCATACATAATTTTCGACGATTGATTTTTATATATATGTTACGCTCAAAGATCAAAAACGCTCAGTGAGCGGAAAAATAGCTCACAACGCGTTGTGGTCACAGTAAAACATCCACATGGCGAAATTCGTGTTATGGCTCTAATAAAAACGCGCACGACGCATTGTGGCAATCACAGAAAGACCAAATAACGAAATCCGTGTCGTGGCTGACATGCTATTCGATCTCAACGCGTTGTGGCAATGAAGAAAAGCCATGACGCGTATGGAATATTATTTAATTACGACGCACACTACTTTCCGATATGGATCCTACTAGGCCTGGAAACGTTTTGGTAGATGTTTTTAGCAAATATTTTTTATTTTATAAAATCACTGCATAACGTGTTTGTCATTATTAAATATGTTATATAAATTAAAATAAAATGATATTTGTTATTTAATGAGATTACTTTATATTTAAAAAATTAACGTATTAAGTAATAAATTACTGAACACAAAATCATCGAGGAGTTCGATGGCGCAGTTGGTTAGCGCGTTCGGCTGCGATGGTTGAAGTTAAGCAACTTTCGCAGTGGTCGGTCATTGGATGGGTGACCAAAAACTTCTATCTCGAGTTCCTCCGTGCTTCGGAAGGCACGTTAAGCCGTTGGTCCCGGCTGCATCTGCAGTCGTTAGCACCCGCCAATCCGCATTGGGCCCGCGTGGCGGGTCATGGCCCAATCTCCCTATTCCATCCATAGGGAAGGCCTGTGCCCCAGCAGTGGGGACATTAATAGGCTGATGATGATGATGAACACAAAATATTAATCATTTGCAAATTACTTATAATTCACTTAAAATAATTAGGGATTTTATTTTTTTATGACAATTTAAAATTCTTTCAAGTAATAAAAATATTTAACACAAACAAATGTTTATTGATCACCAATAAACAACAACAATGTACTTAAATCAATTACTTATATTAGAAATTACTATAATTGTGAAAAATAAGTATTTGATTGATATTTATTTTTACAGGAACTATTATTGTGGCATTTTGAGTTGCATTTCATAATGCATATCACTTTTTATCAATACAGTATCTTTTGCAGTGGCACATTATAAATCCATGCATACTTCCAGATGATAACATAGATGCTGAGCGAAGTTAATGACGAAGTTGAGGGCACATCAGAAGTGTAAACTCATTACGTGCATAAAGTCTATCGAATGTGTAGTGTAGAGACCTGATGGATTAATGCTCATAACAACACACATAACATTCCGGGGTGCTGCACGTTCTCTATCAACTTACAACCTGTCCGTCGTGATATGGTTAAAACAATGAATGCTCAGAACGCATCATGGCTTTTCTTCATTGCCACAACGCGTTGAGATCGAATAGCATGTCAGCCACGACACGAATTTCGTTATTTGGTCTTTCTGCGATTGCCACAACGCGACGTGCGCGTTTTCATTAGAGCCATTTCGTCATGTGGATATTTTACTGTGACCACAACGCGTTGTGCACTATTTTTCCGCTCACTGAGCGTTTTCGATCTTTGAGCGTAACATATTTATAGATATACTAACAAACGACAAATTCCACGAAAGTAATTCAGTATTACGTATGAAAAAATTGAGCTACTACAACAAATTTTCCTTTTTCTTTGAAATCAACAAATGGCCGTAAATCGGAGTGTCTTGATAGAGATAAGGGTGAGATCGTAAGAAAGAGTTTGCGAATATTTTATTCCACTATCACCTCCATAGAGATACGGCCGGATAAAGTGAAAAACTTTGAGAACAATTCCGATCACGATTTACAATTCCGTTGCTTACAGTCTAATACATTGCTGCTACAATAAACACCAAGCTGTGACGATATATTTTGTAGTCGTTGTAGATGTTAAGTAATAGAAGGAGGTCCCAGCCTCAAGATTTACTTATAGCGCCCGGTAACAAACGATCAAATTATTAGTTAAATTGTACGTGTGTATACTTGTTTTTAATGAGTCTCGGCACTGTTGCAACCACAGAACACAGAAAGAGGTTAGAAGGGTCTTCAGAGACCTTTTGTACGGGAACCGATGTCGCCGGCTCGCCCGCACTACACTTACACCTAATAGATATTAGCCAATCAAACGCCGTGACATCAAACAATCGAACCAATCGGCGCTCACACCCCATCGCAACAAAGCAATCGTTGCCAAGTTTTGGTCAAGTTATGAGCATTTGCTCATAACTAACTGTGGCGCGCCTGCCCCGCCCACAAGGCCCTTCTAACATCTTTCTGTGTTCTGTGGTTGCAACCGCCATGATCACGGAGTGGTACAAGGTACATGGTAACAATCCCGTTAATAGCCATAATGTTAGTGACCATGAAAGTTTAAAACAATATAATATCTTTGTTTGATACTATATGAGGCTATGTTTGATGCGTTATTCAAACTATTACCGCCTTGTCCTGGACTAAAACTTATCAGATGATGTCACTTTAGTTTGCTTAAAAGAAGACAGAAACAACATTAGTTTTAAACCAAGACTAACTTTAGTCCGCGTTTTCAATTAAGATGGTTTACGTTTAATGTGTCTGCTGGCATGTCCGACAAACAAGCTAAACATACTTTCATAAAAAACCGAAACACAACATTGAAAAAAATTGATGAGACTGACTTAGCTAAATCGCCACTTTTAATAATGTAATGATTAATTAAGAAAATAACTGATTTAATGTTTGTTTCAGAATTGGTCGGATGAAGCACAACAAGATCAGACATCGTGTCTGGTATTAGTTATATGTATGCATTATTTTTACCTGACGAATTTCTTCTGGATGTTAGTGGAAGGTAACTTTATAAAAAAAAACTTTTCTTAAATTATATGCGCATGTAACTTTTCCTGCTAGACATTATTACTTAAATTCGTGTAACGTACTCGCAGAAACCACGTAAGGTCGAGAATAAATTCAAAATGTTCTCAGATAACGTATGGATTCATTCATACGATAACATTATATATTCTCGAAGTATGCGTGGGACCAACTACGGTACTAAGATTTCTTTTTCAAGCAATTTATAAACGCCCCATATGATGTGTTGCAGAAAAACTTATAAGATGGTACTTTTCTCGTGTTACTAATACCTATGTCAAAATTTGCTATTAGTAAAATAGTATCTATGCACCAATCTACCCTTCTGCCTACTAATACTATGAGTATAAGTGAAAATTTGTGTGTTTGTATGTTTTTGTGTTTGTTACTCAATCACGCAAAAACAGAAATGGATTTGGATGAAATTTGGCACATATATAATGTAATCCCAAGATTGAGACATAGGATACTTATTATCTCGAAAATATATAATGTTCCTAAGTGATTTTCAGAAAACTAAAGTTGACGCGGACGTAGTCTCGGGCGGCCGCTAGTCCTACTAATATTATGAATCTGAAAGTATGTAAGTTTATGTATTTCTATGTTAGCAACTCAACCACGCTGAACGGATTTGGATGAAATTTGCGCGCCAAGGATCCTAGACCTAGAGAGCTTAGACTGAATAAATGGTTTTGAGTTTGAGTATAATAATCTAAAGTTATTATTGCTTTATTAGAATAATTCTAATTTTTTTAATAAAATACCAAATTGAAGGGCAAAACAGTTTACGAAATATGTATAAACATGACAGACACGACAAACGCTCTTCATTTTATTTGGGTATGAAACATTATTATCATTATAATAACTTGGCGTAAAAAGTTTCTAAGAATAATCTTAACCTCGATAAATATAACTTTAAAATACAAACTTTGTATCAAGTTAATTAAACTGAACATCTTTATAATTAAATTTCATGCATATTAATTAACTTCTAAAGAACACGCACCAGAGACTTCGTAGAAACAATTAAATAATTGCTGTAATCAAGATAAGCAATAATTAAAAATTAAGTTTTAACTAGTAATATAAAAGAAAACAATAATAAATTTAAATCCAAAGAAAAGTTTACTAGCATAAATTCGACTGTGTCCAGGTTTTAGACGAGATTCGAACCCACATTTTCCACCCGGGTAGAGTGTTATAACTATACATAACTCCAGTCTTCCTACAAAAAAGTTAGACACGATTTAAAAATTTATTGAGGCTTTTGCATGTATTTTTTAAACAAGTGTTGAACGCATTTCTAACTTTTATGTGGTAATAAGGCTAGCAGTTAAAAGCTTAAAGATATAATAATTTTAGTTTTACTACAACATTCACAAAAGGGGTTTGAATCATTCAGCAACATTTCTTCATGTGTAGCAAGGGTTAATGTACTGAATATAATTTTATGAAGAGTTATGTCCGATATTCATGTGAAATACGTACATTCCAATAAATTTCTTTTGTGAAAGTACGGTATAATGAAATGAGAGAACTCTTATTGAAATCATAGATGTCGGCCAGTTTCAATACATGATTATAACCAACAATAAAAGATGAGGATAATCTGACTCCGTTTTTTAGCAACACTTGTTATTTTAATCTAAATAATAAATATAATAACTATGCAATAAATCTAAAATAGGCCTATATCTTTCTGGAGTTTGATTTATTGAAACTGTCTGCCACTTTTGGGCGACAGACGTTTCATAATATTTTCATGTAATTTCAATCGACTCAAGAATTCTTCAACTGTACGTAACTAAGTCAAAGTAATTTAATAAGAGTCAAATTGATTTATTTAAATTGGGTAGGTACTTATCATTTGATTCTTAAGCTTCCTCTCAAAGTAATTAGGTATTTAACAAAACTTTATAGACTTCGGACTCTCTTCTCTTAATTACTTACTTTTATGTAGGTAATATCGGTAGGTACTAAAGCAAATTTCAAGAGGAGGCCTACTCTATTTCAACGAAAGACAAAATTTCGATCGAAATTTCGCACGTTCCTTACTCTGTTTCTATTTCATTTCGAAAATTCGTTCGTCCGAAAGAGTTTGACAATAGGGAAGATGCATATATAGTATTTATGAAAATTATATGATTAAAATGTTAAAAAATTATAAAAGAAATGCCACTACAACGTTTTTATTTTACATAATGTTGTTTTTTAACAATTATTACGAATTAAAAATACTTGAACCGGAACGTATTTTAAAACACCAATCAGCGTTTAGTGACGTCACTCCTGTTATGACAACTTCTTTGAGGTTATGGTTGTTAAAGTAAATATTATTTTATGGGAATATTTATTGCGTTTTTTACATTTAATAAAAATGGAAGTTGCGTTTATCAAAGCAGACTTCAGGAATTTACCAAGAGTTAGCGTTGACATAGTTATAACTTTTTTTGTAAAAGTGCAGAGTTTTTAAGTGTAGAAATGAAAGGGACTAAATTACTGCGGTATGTAAAAAATCGTAGTTGTTAAACTTCGTATTTTATTCAGCGGCTTCTACAAATCTTACGGCGATAATGCAATCGGCTATGTCCAAATTAAAAGAGATGGAGAATTATGTACAGTAAAAGGTCGAGTTCTCCGGAGCATAAAGTACGTAAAGAAGGTTATCGTGTTACAGTTATTTTAAATGAAACGCAAAGCTTGGTTCAGTCCTGCCAATGTGAAGATTGTGCCACACATTTTGTACTTTACCTAATTTTCGACGTCATTCTCCAACTGTAAAATTAAAAATATGTTATAGACAGGTTTTGTAAGTATTAGGTAGGTTACTAATGCGTTTTTACGTACAAGCAGATTAATTAAGCATATAACAAGTATATTCGCCGACTTACGACAAAGTGATCTTCTCAGCATCGAATAATGGTCTTTGGAGAATAATTGTCATTTCTCTTCGCAGCTTGAAACCACTTTTTTTCAGTTTTGGGTCAGAAGTCAAAAACAAGTTATTTGGGAACTTTGTTGAAGTAGATTGGCACAAAACATGAGTCAACACGGCTTTTTTTTTCAGAATATTAGTGGTATTGTTATGATCACATGATGTTGATGGATAGTCCATTTTAAATTTTTCAAAAAAATATTTCGAAAGTCGAAAAAATATGCAAAAGTATGAAAATTTAAAGACAGCGACGAACAAGTACGACCAGTGACAGACAGGAGTGACGTCATCACAACCATATGTTCGTTTTCGCGCGAAAATTTAAATTGTCAATTTAAAACCGCATTTTTTCCGATAAACCACAATGTTTTAATTTTTTAATATATACAGATATATTAAAAAATTAAAACATTGTGATTTTCGGTTTATTCTACATGGAATTCTTTAAAATGAAAACAAAAATAAAAATATTGCATCTTCCCTATTAAATTCTCCAAGCCTACTCTAATTCACAACACTTTCGAAGAAAAGTTGAATTTGGCAGATAATTGTTCGAACTTTTAATCTAAAATTGACGAAATGAAAAGTGTTACCTTTTCATTTTACTTTTGGGATTATTTTATTTCCAATACTTCAAAGCATTAAACGACAAATTAGGTTGACATACAATCGATTGTATCAACTCTTCAAATTAGTCGGTTAACACTGTCAAAGAAGGTTCTTTCAATGTCATCAAAAATATCGTCGTAAAATAATATTGTTTAAAGTAAAAAACGTAATCTAATATAGTGGAGATGAAAAAAAGAACTCGCAAACATGATGCATTAAATAATAATAAAATAATAATTTGTTCACGAAAATTATCTGTCATTTTGAATTTTATGTCCCTGTTTGAATATAAAATAGAGTCACTGACGAAATGTCGTTTGAAATTCGTCCGTTACCGAAATTTCGTTTCGGAGTAAAGTTCCTGCGGTCTCATGAGTTTTGAAATAAAACAGTTCTGCGGTCTGTTAACTCGGAATAAAAGCAATATATGTCGTCATTTTGTCGTTCAATGTTAATTTTCAGAGTACGTTACTGTGAATACTTATAGTTTTTTTCGTTTACAGGGTTGTATTTGTACATGTTAGTAGTGGAAACATTCACGGCCGAAAATATCAAACTGAAAGTCTACACAACAATAGGCTGGGGTGAGTATAACGCTTACATGAACCGCCGTTCTATTCCGTAAGAACACTCACTTTTCACCGCGGAATTTGTCTGTGTGATTTCAAATTTATTTTAAATTCGTGTTCTTATATTAAATCACACCGCGTATTCCGCAATGAAAAGTGAGTATTTTCATAAAGTGAAGTCCTCCTTACAATAGGATATTTTATAGACTAATAGTATCCGATGCTATACAATTTTCTTCATTGAAAGATTTTCTCACTATTTGTAACGAATCACAATTCGATTGTGGAAATCCATCATTTTATCGCAATTCCTTTCAACGATTTTCTTTACCCATAAAACACTTCGCAGAACTTTTTTTTCAATATTTAACAAACCCTAGAATTATTTTACATCGCATTTTCGTTTCCTCGAATATTTATTATCTACAAACACAGTTCAATTTCTTTTCATGTTTTATACATTAGAGTAAAAAAAGGTATTTAAAATTTACCCCGACTCCACGTAGTAATAGAATTCATATATTAAAACACCAAATCAATAACATAAATACATCTCTTTATTGTTTTAAATCATCATACAATTATAGTGGAAACAAAAGCAATTACTTAATGAATAAATCTTATAAAGTCACTACATGATATAATTTCTAAACTAATTAATATTACCCTCGTTTCGTTACTAGCAATATTTTTATAAAATAGTAGCACATATACTAAATTCTACGATACAGCAATACCACAAGATGTCTTACCGCTAGGTCGTCGTCAACAAGAATGTTCAGGTATCGCGCATCGCCATTTTTATGTTACTTTATTGAACCATAGAGCATACAAAATACAAAGTGTCACAGACTAACTGTCTGTGACACTTTGTATTTCGAAACAACCACAGACTATTTCTTGAAAAAGTCTATGGAATCACTAGGGGGCACTGCGATGCAACTCCAGCGACAACTTCCGGCCGTCCTGCATGACGCAGCCGTCCCGGCATGCGTAGTAGTCTGGTGCATAGGCTGAGAACACAAAATATATTATAATTGTTAATGCTATTAAACTATCAATTGAATGAGTCAACACAGTGCACCTTGTTTCAACTATCCCATGGTCGGCCAGTTAAACAAGGGTGCAGTTGCGCTTACATAACACTTTATTAGAACACATTATTGGCGTTCCAGGTTACGACTGTTCCATCGGCGGTCAGTCTGTTAGAATCTTTGCTTACCCTAGGCGATGCCTTTGGCCAACCCTAGTTGCATATCACAACAGATTCTAATCTAACGTAAAAACTAGAAACCCAATAATTGTGTTCGAAGCAAATGCACTTGACATTAAAGAATAAATAATAAGGTCACTTTACGAATATAAATAAATAAACTGATTACATTTGTTTCGTTTTATTACCTTGACAACATCCGTGGCGATCCTCTCACTATTCGTCCGCTGCACCGTCTATTCTAATCCACGGCTTCATATTTTCAGCACAGGAGACTCCAGTATAGTGTTTCGAAGTTCTTTGAGTTTCGCGCATATCTGCGACTTTGTAACGATCATTACCCACTACTTCTTTAACTTGGAATGGCCCTTTGTATAATAGGAGAAGTTTAGTGCTTTGTCCCTCATTTGATTGGCTGGGTATTTTTATTACAACTAAATCGCCAGACTTATAAATGTGAGCTTCTTTACGTTTGGAATCGAATACCTGCTTTTGTTTTACAGCATTTTTATTTATTTTTTTATTTACTGCGCTCCTTAGAGATGTCACATCAATGGGTAGTTCACTATTGGGGTCTGCAAACTTATCTGAGGCAGTTGAAAGTCTATACTATAGTCTTTCAACTGCCTCAGATAAGTATAATTCACTATAATAGTCTAAAGAAAATTTCACTGGGAGATGCGGAAGTAGTTTTATATACAGTACTATTTATGCCTAATTGAATGTCAGGAACATGTTGGTCCCACTTATTACTATCAGTGTTCCCACTAGAGGCGCGTAAGGCTTCTAATGTTGTTTGGTTGTAGCGCTCTACCTGACCATTAGCACTTGGCATGGACGTCGCTATTACATGGTATCGAATATTTTTATTCAGCACAATATTTAACAAATAATTTAGAAGTAAAAGCACTACCTGCATCACATATGAGTCGTTTGGGATTACCAAAAACTTTAAAAACTTATTTAACTCATTAATTACAACTATAGATTTAGTATTTCGGACAGGGCTAATAAATACAAACTTGGTAAAAGAATCTACAATTACTAGCAGGTAAGTATTATTTTGGGTTGTTTTGACAAATGGTCCTAGATGATCCAAGTGCAGAGTGTGGAAAGGCCGGGCATATTTATATCGATATTTATATCGAAGTCAGGAAAATATCGATATCCGATATATCGACCATTTTAACTCGATATTATCGATATATCGATATTTTTTCCTTTTTATTTTGTATTGACATTAGAATACGGGGTGAGTGTAACACATTCATATGTTTGTTGGCGAGTTTCTCGCAAAATGCATTGAGCCAGCTTTTTCCTTAAACACGCTGGATGAAATCGCGCCAAGCAGGATTTTTTTTATTGGCTTGCACGGTTTGTGTTTCAGCTACGACAGGAAACCAAATTTAGGAATTGAAAAAAAGCTTTCCTTCTTTTTTACCATGGACATTTTTGAAGTAAATACAATTTAGGCAATTTTTTATATATTTTGTTACAATTTTTTTCATTTTTGGAAACCAATATAGGGATCGAATTCTTTCTATGGTTTTATCAACAGCGAAATGCCCTATATCATCATGGTTTGATCTAATTACTTGCCATACACAAAGTTTTGGAACTAACCATCGCCGACCATATTCGGTTCTGCGATATACTTTGTTTCCCAATAGTTCGTAATCATGAAAGAGCTTTTTATTGATCTCGGTCTGTCCTGACTCTAATATATCTCTAATAGCGCAAATTTTAGGATCCTGTAATTGTACAGATAATAACCAGTCACCCTCAGACATCACGCTTTCATTGACCGGGAGGTATGGATTACTAATGGGATTCCTACTGAGAGCGTCAACGTGCTGCATTTGTGTACCGGGTCTGTGAACTATTTCAAATGTAAAATCCTGTGTCAAAAGAACCCAACGACCTATACGAGAGTTTATTTCTTGCTTATTAATTGTATGTTTTACAGCGTTACAATCAGTAATTATCTTAAACTCTGCACCTAACAAATAATGCCTGAACTTTTTTAATCGTACAACGATTGCTAAAAACTCTAATTCAAATGAATGATATTGTTTTTCTTCATTAGAAGTTTGTCTGCTATAGAAGTGAATAGGCTTTTCCCCATTTGCAGTTATTTGCGTTAGTATACACCCTAATCCATCACGACTAGCATCTGTATACATATTTATGGGCAAACTAGGATCAAATATGGTAAGTAATGCATTATGAATTAATTCCGATTTTAGATTAGTAAAGGCTTTGATTAGTTCGGGACCCCATTCCCATAACTCATCTTTCTTAAGTAGTTTCGTAAGAGGTTTTGATATAAGAGCACATTTTTTTATGAATTTCTGAAAGTAATTAATAAGACCTAAAAATTGTCTAACTTGGTGAATACTTTTAGGTTGTGGATATTCTTGAATAGCTTTGAGTTTTTTATTACCCGGGCGCATACCTTCATTTGAAATGTCATACCCAAGGAAACTAACCGGTTTTCTAAAGAATTTACACTTTTCTATGTTTATTGTCAGACCGTGATTTTGTAATAATTTCTAGCTCTTTTATGCTTTCTTCTATAGAATCATTGGCTAATAATAAGTCATCCATGTAACAAATTACTCTATTAAAACGTAAATTACCTAGCACAGTATTCATTAATCTTTGGAAATCACAAGGTGGCCATCGGGTGTAATAAACGCAGTTTTGGGTATAGACCTATTATTAACTTTCACCTGATAATAGCCAGGTTTTAAGTCTAATGACGTAAATACTTTACTTCCCTTTAGTTTACCAATAAGTTCATCTACTATAGGCATGGGATATTTTTCCTTGACTGTGATTTTATTGAGTGCGCGGTAATCCATGCACAATCTTTTATCACCCGATAGCTTATCTACCAACATAATAGGGCTGGCATAAGGTGAACTGCTTTCCCTTATTATATTATTTTTTAAAAGATCGTCTATAATATTCCTTGTCGCTTCTTTTTGAGACTCTGACATACGATAAGGACGCTGACAGACAGGTTTATTAGAATTCACTTCGATATCGAGCTCTACGGAAGTAGTTTGACCTAAAGTCATCAAATCCTTAGCTACTATTTGAGAATATTTAGTAAATAAATTTGTCAATATCGATATGTGCTCTGCTGATTCCGATTTAAACCAGGAAGGCTCAATCAAATTTACTTGCTCGGAATCAACAGCACTAAACGTCAACGTATTTCCTATTCTAGTATACATAAGACTACTGTCTTCGGTAGAGTTCCTGCCTATCAAAATAGCACAACCAGCTAAATCATCACATAGGTAAAACTCAATATTCAATTCTACTTTGTCAATTCTAAGATTTCCTTCTACATATTGGAAAACAGTGGAACTAGAACCTGTTTTGAAACCGTTAAGCACTATTGGGGGGTTCAGATTAACAGGTTCTAAACCTAATTGTTTTACTAATCTCGGCGTTATCAAGGAACAACTACTGCCCATATCAATGAAAGCTTGATGTTTACAACCATTTAGTTCTACATATTTTCAAAAAATTTCTTTAGAATTTTGAGAAACAATAAGTTTAATTTCGACTTCTTTTTCGACTTTCGGTTTTGACCTCGACATGCTAATTCTAAATGACTAAACTTACGACATAAATTACATTGTACGTTATCTTTTTGAGTACATTGGAATTTCTTGTGGCCATTTTCGCCGCAACGGAAACAACTTAAATTCGAAAAGTTATTATTGCTATTGGCTATTTCAACATTTGCTAAATTGTCCGACTTTCTATCCACAAAAGGTTGGCGAAA